AAAGCTGTAGTAGAGGGGATTTATATCCCTACAAACACACATGAAGAAATGGAAGGAGCAGAAATTAATAGCCTAACAAGCCACCTAAGGAAGCTGGAAAAGCAAGACCACAAAAGCCCTAATTTCAGCAGAAGAATTGAGATCACCAAAATAAAGCCCAAATCCAGGACATAGAAGACAAAAAGACAATACAAAAAAATCAATGAAACAAAAAGCTGGTTCTTCAAAAGGATAAACAAGATCGATGGTCCCCTAGCTAGACTGACCAAGAAAAAGAAAGAAAAAACCCAAATAAGCACAATCAGAAACACAAAAGATGAAGTCACATCTGACCCTGAAGAAATACAAAAGATCATCAGGGACTACTATGTACACTTGTATGGAAACAAACTTGAAAACCTCAAGGAAATGGAGGACTTTCTGTCATCACACAACCTACCTAGGCTGAAACAAGAAGAAATTGAGACCCTAAATAGACCAATAACAATCAAGGAAATTGACTATGTAATAAGAAAACTACCTACAAAAAAAAGCCCTGGACCAGATGACTTTCCAGCAGAATTCTACAATACATTTAAGTAGGAACTGATTCCAATCCTACTGAAGCTATTTCAGGCGATTGAGAAAGATGGAACCCTCCCCAAATCATTTTATGAAGCTAACATCACATTGATACCCAAGCCAGGTAAAGATCCAACAAAAAAAGAGAACTACAGGTCAATATCTTTGATGAACATAGACGCTAAAATTCTCAATAAGACCCTAGCAAACTGGATTCAACAACACATCTCAAAAATCATCCGTTATGACCAAGTAGGCTTCATCCCTGGGACGCAAGGCTGGTTCAACATTTGTAAAACAATAAATATAATTAAATACATCAACAGATATCAAAACAAAAACCACATGATTATATCATTAGATGCAGAAAACGCTTTTGATAAAATCCAGAACCCCTTCCTGATAAAAACCCTCAAACATCTAGGCATACCGGGAAAATACCTCAAAGTAGTAAAAGTCATCTATGAGAAACCCACAGCCAGCATACTCCTAAATGGACAAAATTTGGAACCATTTTCCCTGAATACTTACAAGACAAGGATGCCCACTCTCACCCCTCCTGTTCAATATAGTATGGAAGTCCTGGCTAGAGCAATTAGAGAAGAGAAGGCAATCAGAGGTATCCAAATAGGAAAAGAGGAAGTCAAATTATCTCTCTTTGCAGATGACATGATCGTGTACCTTGAAAACCCAAGAGAATCTGTCAAAAACCTCGTTACACTGATAAAGGCCTTCGGCAAAGTCTCAGGATATAAAATAAATGTGCAAAAGACAATCACATTTCTTTACACCAATAATAAACAAACAGAAACCCAAATAAGAAGCACATTTCCATTCACAATAGCCACCAAAGAAATGAAATACCTTGGCATCTTCCTAAGCAGAGACGTGAAAGACCTTTACAATGAAAACTACAAAACTCTGCTCAAAGAAATCAAAGATGACACAAACAAATGGAAAAATATCCCATGCTCATGGATTGGAAGAATCAACATTGTGAAGATGTCCATCTTACCTAAGGCAATCTACTGATTCAATGCAATACCTATCAAATTACTAGCAACATTCTTCTCAGACCTAGAGAAAAACAACACAGGAATTCATATGGGAAACACAAAATGACCAAGAATAGCCAGAAATAA